GAATTTTTTAAGTGATTTTCCGCGAAAGCATTGTGAAATTTTTTAATTGACAGACAATTTAGTTTTCCAGTTGTTGTTTGGGATAAAGTTATTTCCAGACCATTGTTGTGAAGTGAAATCTGTCGGGCATTAATAGGGAGTAAATAAAAATTTATTGCACTCGAATTATGACGGTTGATCGGTGACTTTTATTCGCGGCAATAATATTTTTATATTTATTTGCTGTTTTGAACCTTGAAAATAAGTGGGAAAATTATTTATTGTGATTTTATTCACTCTGGTATACTGAAGCAAGGGCACTTCCAAAATTGGATATAAAACATTTTTTAATATTATTATTATTATTATTGCAGGATAATAACAGCTTTATTCCTTTTCAATGTAAGCTTGCCTAAATCTTTATAAATAAATATTTTATGTTCGCTTATAAAAATCTGGTAGTCTCCAAGAGTTACCGATCGATTGACTTAGAATTTTGTCAGATTATTTCTATGGCTCCTAAGAAGGTCTATACGAGTAGTTGTCCAGGCAATATTCTATGCGGCAAAAGCGTACTCTTGGTTAAATTTACTTAAAATTCGATGAATAGATGACTTTTTATCTCGAAACTTTTATTTTATGAAACGTGAATCGATCTATTTGAGCTTCTTGTTTCCTGGAAATGGGCCTGAAAACAAGTTGGATATAATTATTTAATACTTTCTCTACAGACCGATTGATAATAATTAGTACGATTTGGATATAAGAATAGATTGTGGTTAGGTGTGTTCCTTTGCAATTTAACAATTTTTCCGCTACGGATTTGGCTTGAGTGCGATTGACTTACTTCCAGGCATTCAAATGGATATTTTCGTAAAATACTTTGAGCAGCAAAAAAGTCACGCACTCATGCTAATAAGTAGATAAATCAATCTATACATGTATATATATATATATATAAATCCTACAATCGTTTGCAAAGATTCGTATATCTCGAAAAGTTACTAACCGACTGCAGTTTTTTGCCTGCCTAAACTACTCTACATTGTGGCGACGTGGCGCGTCAACCTACGAGCTACGCTATTCAGTCCATCTTTTTAAGCGAGTTTGCTACAAATAATTCAACAATTCTTTGTACTTAGCGGGGGTCCAAAAGGCAAGTATTATATGTTAAAGTGCTACGTATTAAAGGGTTTTCCAATTCAGATAATATGATTTTTAAGTGTCGTTTAGGCCATTTTTAATATGTAATGGTCTTGTAATTTTTTTCATTGTATTCAGTAATGTTTACAATTTCATCATGACATGATATACGCAACTTGAAAACGATAATGTTTTTTTTTTTTTGGTTATGCGTCACACACTAAACAGCTGCAGATTTGTTCCTCAGCTACAATTAATATGCATTGGGAAAAATGTGAAGGAATTTAGTTACTTATTTAAAACACTCTGTAAGTAGGTTTTGAAACAGAAAAGTGAGTCAGTTGGGGGAAATGTGGATTAAATTCTATACACAAAGATCTAAAAGAGTCGTACATTTCAAAGTTTGTTCTACATGAACGTAAGGAAAGTGTCTAGTGTCTAGATAATATTAAAAGGGTAGTAAAGTTGAGGAGTTAGATAGGTCTTGAAGGCCAAAAAAAGCTTCTTTTCTCTCAATTCTTTTAAAGGATATTAAATAAAGTAGACAGTTTAATTTGTTAACATATCAAAGTACAATATGTGGACAACATTTGATGAAAATTTGAATGAAAAATGATAGAAGTTAACGCGTTGGCAGTGTAGTGAAGTATACCGTCCACAAGGAAGTGCTTTCGCGGTAGTAACGATAACTTTTCAATTTTTATCTGAAACCAATTTTCTTAAAGAAGGTCAATTTTCCTTGTTCCTGAACAAAGAAAAATAAAAAAATTTAAAATTGAAATTTTGGCAGCGTTTTTTACAAAAAACTTCATTTTTGCATGAAATTAGGCCACATATTGGCTTGTAAAATGAGTTAAAATCAAAGATAAAATAAATCCTTAGTTCAGCAACTACAAAAACTGCTTAAAAGAAGTGTGGAAAATTTGAACTCGATCGCTTCAATAGTTGTTGAGAAATTTCGACTACCGATTTCGATAAAGTGGTTTTAAGAAAAACCCTAATCGAAACTTTTATCATCGGTCAAGCCATGACAAAGACGGCGGGTTATACAACTTTCTTGGGGAATTTATTCCTGACACTTGGTACTTTTATACAAACAATTAAAAAAAATAATAATTTTTTGAAGTTTCAAGATTTAAAACGTTAAACTTGTTAAGTAGGAATGGACTATTGATAACACCTCTTATGAATTTAGTTAAAAATAAAACTCCAAGCATCCTTCTATGAATATGAAATGTAGGCAGATTGATGAGCAGTAAACGACTTTTGTAAGAAGGCAGTTTCATATTCGCACCCCAGTTTAAATTCCTTGACGCGAATATTGGGAACTGCTTTTGAACAGGTTCGAATTTGTCACTTCACCGTATATACATTCCAAAATGATAAATTAATTAGTGAGGTAAGGAGTAATTTGCTAATGCATGGTACAGTGAACTCCTTAGCGCAACGATAATGATAGCTAAAACGCCTTTTGCTATTTCACGGGATTACTAGTACCAAACTAAATTTAGATAGGAGAGAAGTAGAGAAATACCTTCGAAATGTAGAATAAAAAAGATGAACTCTGATTTGGTTTAATAACAGCGGACCTAAAGAGCTGGCTGAATTTTCCTTCTTCATGTGATTTGCCGCCAACGAAACTACTGGCTTTCGACAAGGATGTTAAAGGAACTGGTACGTACGTACCGCAAAAACCAAAAGGCTGCCTTTATTTCAACTTCTCCAGTCTCCTTAATAGCGCTGAAAGTGAAACATTTGAACACCGCAAGCACGAAGCTCCAATCGAAAAATATAGAGGCATCAGCACTAGACTATTATAAGATTCGAATAACGAATGAAGTAGCTATATAAGCTTCCTTGCAGAATATGGCCAGCGATTGGAACCTGATTGTAAATTGCCCAATCGGCAAGAAAGTTGATCTTATATCCCTGAGCCAATATTTATGGGATAAACCTTCTCAATAACGCTTAAGAGATCCTATCTGTCGCCTTCCAAGTAGAGGTCCGTGAAAAAAACCACCTCTTCGCTGATTTTAAAGCTCCCTTCGATTGGGCAAAATGAAGCTGTCCCTATGCCGCTGTCTGTACTTGGCATTCTGTGAATATCTTAACGGCTGTGCAAGCATCATAAACCTCATGTCCTAACTGATGCTCTTTAGCACCAAAAGATTTGTGAGAAACCACTTTGAGAAATTCGGTAACCAATGATACTGCATACATGACGTCTTGATTTTTTGTGACTTATGCAATCCACCGTTGAAGAAAATACTTTCAGGGGACTGGAAATTTGTAAGGAATTTGAGTAGAACGGGAGACGGCACTCATTTATTTTATTTGCGCTATTTCTCCGGAGGATGGAGGTGCGTAAAGTTTCGTGTTCCTTAAGTTTAAATGTCCATATTTATTGCACCGTAAACCACAAAAGCAAGCCATAAAGATTGGGGTAGTTTTTATCTTTCGCAGGGTAGTCTCTCACGGAAGTTCTTGAAGCGTTAATGATTTTTTTTGTCCTTGAATACATTGCTTAATAATCTCCGAACGCCTGTTTTAGATTTTAAGATTTCTTCGTGAGCGGCTGATAATGATATCGCTTTTAATGTGGAATTTGGTGACTTAAATGGTAATTGTTGTTTTAATCAGATTTAAAAATTAGTTTATGTAAATATAATACTAGAAATGGCGGCTTCGCCGGTTGACATTAGAAAGCCAGAGTCCTGATCTGACCAAGCAGCGTTAATTGTAAAATAATAAAATTATCTTATAGCCTTCCGAGTGTATTTCTGGCAGAAAAATCAAAAGCTTCCCATAAAAAATCTATCATCCGTTCGGAGGTAATAGAATATTGGCTGATTTACTGTTATCTTTAATGCTGGAAAAATTTCCCATAGCATGAATAACATAACTGTTAAACTAAGAGGGGTGTATTCACCCTCGTCTGATAAAACTCACCGCACTTGAATAAAAACCACCACCAAAACGGGGCAATATAAATAAAACACAACAAAAAAGCAAAGGAATGCTCTAATGCAACCAATACCATCACAACTACTATGCCGGCATGATAACACACACACAGTAAGCGCTTGTGGTAAAATAAAACCAAACACCAAAATAAAAACAAAAAGCAATAATAATAAAAAAAAGGATACAAATAAAGTAAAAAAAACGAAAAAAAAATAAAAAAGAATAGAGCAAAGTAACGCCAACGACAGTTAACAGTAAAGGAAAAGAAAACGATTACACAAACAAAATCACAGTTGTCTGATTCGTCCTGATTCGTTTGCATTGTCGGCGATATTACCGTTGGTAACGGTAAAGACGAAGGCGACACACTCTCGTCCTATCTATTGTCTTTTTGTACATACTACAGCAACGCATACGTAAATACAAATGTATGTGCGAATGTATATGTGTGGTAAGGTAAATGTTGTATTTGTCGCAAACAGATGTTTTTTTGTTTTTGTTCCCGCCAATTCGTTTGTGTGCGGCGTAGACGAGTGTTAGTTTGCCGCTCGGGTTACTCATACGACACGTTGCGGCTACACTTCGCCAATGCTTCCGGCAAACGAAACCGACCTATTGCGAATCAGTTGTTTGTCGACATCGTTTGCGAGCGGTTGTATTAAGCGGATTATAACGGTTCAATTTTAATGGCGCGCAAATGACAACGTGTGTGTTTACAATTTTTTGATGAGATAATTACAAAATGTACAAATACTTATAAATTGGTGGTTTATTTAACGGTGTTGTGTATTGCGCGCAAATTAGTATTTAAACCTGTAAGCATATTAATTGTAAAGAGTGAGAAAACTACTGAAGATATTATATATTAAAAAATACATGCGCTAAGTTAAAGTCAAAAAAAAAAAAAAAAATTAACAACAAAATTAACCAAAAATGTGAAAAAAGGAAACACAAAGAGTTTCGACTTATAAGGATTGTAAGTTTGCCAATTCCTTCAATGTCGATAAATAACATGTCCTAATCAAACAAATACCTTATATGAGCAAAACTTAAAGCTGAGCATAGGCAACCGTTAGTTTATGCGTACTAAATCAACCTAAGGGTGCTTGAGAGTTTGAAAAAAAACCTTGCGGTACTGAAGAGCAACCCGACTTAAGTTTGAAATATTTAGCTGGTATCATGCTTTATTTATGTAAACATTATTCCAACGCTCAACTGAAATAATATGAAACACTCAATGCAGATTTTTCATATTTTTCATGCATTGACGACACCAAATACTTGTTAAAGTGGTTTGGTTTTGTCAAATTTCTTCAATTTCATTAAGAGTTGGGCCAAGCAGTAGTTAATAGTGCAATTGAAGTAAACTTTATGAACAAATATATATGTGGGTCCTTTTATTCACTATTATGTAGATTATAAATAAAAGAATTTTAAATGAAGAATTTATTGATTAAATTATTAAATAATTAGAATTAACAAGTCTTTTCGTTTAATATGGTTCCCGTCTACAAGTTAACTAACTTCTGCTTGACTACTGATTCAAAAGGGGAGCTTTGCAGACGTAATTTTCTACCACGGTAAGGGTTTCCAACTATACTCCCACATATATAAATAAGGCTTCCATTTAGCGGTTTCAAAAATAAACGTAAATAAATGAATTTAGATTTTTTTTCATGAAATTCATTCGATCTCATTGATGTAATTTTCGACAATTTTTTGCCACATTTTTGTTGGTTACTAAGTGCTTGAAAAGTTGAGTATTTATCCGCTTAAATACGGTCTTTCTCCAACGGAGTCAAATCGTACTATCTTGGTGGCCAATTCACATCACCAAGACTAGAGATTATGCGGCCGGTAAATTTTTTAAAGCAATATGCGATCGTGTTGTGCGGCATGTGGCCCCATCTTGTTACAGCTGCATATTGGCCAAGTCTTGTTCTCTAATTACAAATCAAAAAAGTCGGTTGTCATATGACCACAACGCTTCGAATTTATGGAATTACAGTCCAAGCACACCCCCGGAGCAAAGAGCGCACCATACAACATTTCTTTTTTTTTTTGGCGTAGTGTTTCTTCAATTACTTGAGGATTCTCGTAGCTTCAAGTACGATAATTGTGATTCTTTACGATCACTGAGTGAGAAATTTGCCTCTTCTCTGAAGAAATTTTTTTTCGAAAAACCGCCATTCACCACTGTTTGTTGTTCATGCGCCCAATTGGCGTATGTGCGGCGTTGGGACTGGTCCGCTAGCTTGAGTTGTTCTGTAACCTAGTCTCTATAGTTAATCTAATTGCAAAATACTTCATAATGTGCTGAAGGTGATTCCCTGCTCTTTAAAATGTTGCCAATTGCTTGTGTAGTTAAACGATTCTTTGCATCGTAATCTCCTCTCAAAGCAGGGAAAGTGGTTTGAATCTCCACTTTGTAGTAGATTTTAACAACTGAACGCGATTTGCGGTTGTTAAGCGACCCATTTTTTTAAATGACTAACTTTTAACTAAAGCAAAACATGTTTAGTTTGACAACTTAATCTGACAGATATCAAAATATAGCATTGTACGAAATGGATAAGCCTCCCATATTTTTACTAAAATTTTAATAATCTCTGAAAAATATTAGCTTAATATTCTGTATATAAATCATTAGGGGTTTTAGTGAAGTATAGCCTGAGCTTAAAATATTAGAAAATTGATAGATTGAATATTGATTTATTAAAATCGTTCTGCAATTACAAATAATAGAGCTTCAAATTCCAAGAAAAGTTTATTTTTGCAGGCGTAAGAAAAAAACGGCAAATCTTTTATTTACAAAAAATTTTCAGTAAAACTAACTAAAATACCAAAGTTGTCGGTTGCTGAATGGCAGTCTTATTCATAAATATGAAGTGTGATGAAAAAAAAATTTATTTTTGAATTTCGTATGGTTCAAATATCGATATTTTATTCCTTTTGTTAGCATACTCGTCGCGAACTTTTTTTTACAGTCTCAACTTTAGCGTCTTCGGTATATTTGTGAGAGGTAAACAAATTAGAAATATTAGTGAAGTAAAAAGAAATCAATTATTTTTCCAATAGGTGACGTTATTTGTCTGTACCTCGCTTTGTTTTGTACTATGTCCGATCGATCATTAGATGGCGTTAGAAAGGCAACGTTTCAAACTAAAAAAGCTTTTCTCACAGTTTTGTGATTGGTTGATTCAATTTTGTTTGAACGTGCGTCAAAAATGGACACTAGCAAGCCAGCCGGCTGAAAGTGTGATTAGCGTTTATGGTCCTGATATTGTTACAGTCAATCATGCCCAACTTCGGTTTCATTTAGGGCAATTTGATGTAAAAGATGTATCACGGAGTGCAAGGCCAATTTTCGAATATGTCCGAAAAATTATGGGCATTGTCGAGCTCAACCGTGATGTAAGTTCTACTTCCATTGACAAAAAGTTAACGTTTGCACCAAAAACCGTTTGGAACCATTTGAAAAAGATACCAATGTAAAAAAACTAAAACATTCAATTTCATGCAAAAATAATGGATTTCTTTTTACTACACCTAATATTACAGGGATAGTAGAAAGCAGCAAAGTTTTCGCCTTCAATAACATTAGTCAACGAAAGGGAAAGAATATATGTCTAATTGACGCGTCTTTCTCAAATGTAGCAACAATTTTCCTATACGACTTTTGATTTTAAGTAAGATTTGCTTCTTTATTGGAAAATTTTTGAGAATATTTCACTGTAGTTTTCAAAGACCTTCGTCAAAAGGATGTTGTGTTCTTATTTTCCATTGTTTTTTCAATATTTTTGCTCAACATTTTTTTTTTTGCAAAATATCGGTTTTTGAAGAAGCTTAAAACTTAAAAATAATATGGAGTAATCGGGACAAAGCACGGGTTCCTCGTATTTTATGCCCGAAATGTGTGTTAAATCTACGCTTATGGAAAAGAGATGCAGAAATGTTCGTAGCATTCACGATATGGCGGGAACTTCAGAAGCCAAATGACCATTGTCACTCTGTGTTGTGCAAAAAAGTAGTTTTAACTATTGCAATTTAAATAAATAGTCACATCCCAACTTATCTCCTTCTCTGTAGTCTCAGTTAAAATCAAAGGAGCAAAATCCAACACAAAATATAATACATCAAGTGAATTCTCTGATACAGACTAAATGTATAAAACAAAAATCTAAAACTTGGTTTTGAGTATTCCCCAGGCAATACCAGGTCTGATGACCACCTCGAGCAAGCCATCGAAAATGAGGAATCTTGGGTCTATTTCGAGAAACTTCCAAAATATATGAGTGATTTAAATGAAGAGCAGAGTGAAATAATTGCGACAGGAACATCAAACAATAAAATAATCTTACTTGAGCTGGTCGCGTGGTACTTTCTGACAGTTTCAGATCACAAAATTCACCCTATGGTGGCCTAGTAAGAAGTAATACATTATTTTTGCACAAGATTACTTTAAAGCTCTGCAGTGCGATTGTCTTACGCCAGATAATAAGATAATGAGAGCATTGTTGATAATGTTTCCTGTGACAAAGACGAAAACGTCAGTGGGGTTCTGTTACTGTAACAAACATTCATGCTCGAGTGCGTCTTCGTCGATTTCGTTCCAGCAATTTTAAGTAAAATTCCACGGCTTGGAACGCCACAGTGTGAAAAATGTCGATAAAATAATGAAGATTGTCGAGTTGGGATATCACTATAAGAAAGCTGGATACTCAAGGTCCCCGACTTATAGGTGCCGCCTGAGTTTGTGAGAAAAACCCCATGTACTAAATTTACATCTGCGAATCTCTACTGATTCCAAACAATAACTGGTAGTAATAAATTAATCATTTTAAGCAACCTAAAATGAATATACTCATAGTCGTAGAGCAGTGAGCTAGAACAAAAGTTTTTTCCTGCCAGAATTGATGGCCAAGAAGGCTTTTATGCTCTTAATTCGGACTGACATCAATTGAACCGTCTGAAGGAAGCAATCACCCAGAGGCTTCCAGCTTTGGCCAGCAGTTGGTGTTTCTTCAGGACAACGCCAAGCCACATAGACCGATAGTTACTCGCCAGAATCGACAGCTGCGGGGAGTTGGAAGTTTTTTATCATCTGTTCTTGTCTATTGCGAGATATTTGGAGGGTGAAGAAATGTCCTCTAGAGCAGTATTTGAAAATCGACAAGGGACCAGGGTTTCTATGAGAGAGGCACCTTGACATAACAATTAATTTTTTGTACTTCTAATCTGTAAGATTGGAAAATCTTTGACTTAATAAATGAATTGTTATGAAAAAAAATGTAAAAAGTTATAGAGCAGAAAAAATCATACGTTCCTTCCCACTGAGCCTTGAAAATCTACGATCCCTTGTACCAGTGCGGTTTACATGAATCAAGTAATTAGAATAATCAGCTTGACGGAAGTGCCAATTCTACTGTTAATTATCACACACAATTTTAGTGGAAAGAAACAATTAAGTATAAGGAAAGTTATGGCAAATAACGAAAGCGAGAAAAAAATGATGCGAAAAAACATAAACAAATGAAAATGTAAATAAATAATAAGGAATGCCGCCAGCCATCAGCCACCAGCTTCAGGTATTTTCGCGTGTTACCAGCAAATATGCGCCGTGTAGCCCACAGTCTGGTTAACTGTTAATAATTCCGCGAGGTTTATTTTCCCTTTTTTTTTTTTTTGTGTTTGCTTGATTTTTCTGTGTGCCGCTAATGTTGTTATTACGACCGTGTTGCGCTTAGTTGCTTTATTGCCTGCCATGCATTGTGAGTGTGTGAACGTAGTAGTGAGCTTGTGGTTTATTCATAACCACTCTGTTGTTGGCAAATTATGCTGGGAACTTTAAATGTACTACAATATAAATACCTGCATACATATTGACATACGAATATATTCCCACTACTGTTTGAGGGGGTATAATTGCGCAGACAAGCGCTAGAGAGGCTGTTTGGCGTATGGGCCAATTTGCCC